TGTTTCCAGTGCTTCGTATACTAATACTTTATATAATTGAGAAAATCTCACTTTATACCCATTAATTCCAAACTATTTACCCTTTAATACTCAGGCCCAAACTATTTACTACTGCTACCCATGAAGCCCAAACTATTTACCCGGTACTCTTAACAACAGGGTATCGTATTCTTGACAAGAGGGCCTCTTTGTTATTATTGTTCTTGATTTCTTTTATTTTTAGGAAAAAGAATTCAATCATGGCTGTATATTTCAAGTATAAAGTGCTAAAGATTATGATTCAATTCCAACTCTTGATCAATTTATTTCTGTTGGCAATTTGAAATTAAAAATATTTGAATCCAAGCGTTTTGCAGGGGTAAGGATTTTGACCTTCTTATTACCAACGCTCAAGCTAACGAAGATTATGTGGATCAATTCTGCTCCACTAACGAAAATGTCTAGTTTCAATTCTGCTCCACTTTTTCTCGATTGTTCTTTCCCTAGCTCTTGCTCTTGCCTTGGCCCTTGAATTTAAAATTTTTATTTTGAAGATTTCTTGTTTGATTCAAAATGGGTATTGTTAAATATTGCTTATAGTACCTTCTGGAAGTTCATACTGAAATTTGATAGCATTTGGAGCTGATTTGAGGTGATTGAGATCGAAATTTTCAGTTGAAAATCGAAGAAGAACACAACTACAGAATACCGCTACAGTATACAATATGTTGTAGGAGTATATAGCTATACTTCAACAGTATACTATTATAGTTTACAATATACTGCAACGGTATATTGTAATAATCGAAGAAGAACACAGTTACCTAACAGTATACCACTACAATATACAATATACTATAGGAGTATATAGTTATACTGCAACAGTATACTATTATAGCATACAATATATTGTTATAGTATGCTGTAATAATATGCAATATACTGTAACAGTATGCTGTAATAGTATACAATATACTATAATAGCATACTTATTACACGTAAATTCACTTGCCTTTTCCCTTTTAATTTGCTTTAAGCTTTTACCCAGCGTGAGGGGCAAATCGAAAATGCAAAAAAAAAAATATATTATAGTATGATATATAATGTAACGGTATACTCTTACAATTAGATCCTTTTAGAATTTTTCAAAATTTTTATTGACAACTGATATTATTTCAGTTTAATTGAATTAAATTTTTTTTAACTCTTTGCGTACAAGTGTATACCCTGTTGGTATAGCTATATACTATACAGGTATCATATGTTAGTTAATATTTGTTGGTTGTATTAGTTACATTTAATTGGTACACAATTTGATTTTTTTTAGTAATAGTATAAAAAAAAGAATAATAAAAAATAGTAAAAACAGTAAATGAAATTAGATTATGAAGAGAAAAAGAATATAAAGAAAAGAAGTTAAATGAAATTAGAAAAGGAAAAAAGAAAAAAATAAGAAGAAACCGAGAAAAAAGAAAAGGAGAAAAGAAAAAAAAAAGAAAAAAAGAAAGGGAATCTTACAGAAATGTCTCAAAAAAATCCCAACTTACCAACTTCTAGCCATTAATCATAGACTTACCAAAACTAGCCAAACACATATAAAAATTAAAAACACAAATAAATAAGGTTCTTTCTCTCCAAGAATCACACACAAAGATCTCCTTCCATATTTTTAAGCGTCATTAGCTATATTAGATGCAAGATGGAAAGAAAATTTTGGTGATGAGGTAGCAAATAAGGTGATGAAATACAAAAATATATATACAAGATTCCAAAAATCTAAGCAAAAAATGACTTTTTTCAATGGGTATGGTTGAGACTCATTGAAAACATATAGATGAGTCAATATACAAAATTTGAGGAAGATAGGAGGTGATTTGGACTGATTTAGTATCAAAATTCGTAGTTAAAATCGAGTTCCAAAAATTCTTCTGCGACACATGTATCAAACATGTATCACGCTTGTATCTCACACGCAGGTATACATGGATATACATGTGATACACATTTGATACAAATATGATACATGTTTGATACATAAGTGATACATAGTGCGATACACATATTATTTTTTCATGTTCATCATCTATTTCAAATTTCAATTCAAACCACCTCAAAACTCCACCAAATCATCCTAAAACTGAGGTTCAAGCTCCTTAAAATATATCCAATCTATTATAATACCACTCACTCAAAAGAAAGCAAAAATTTGACCTTTTTTGGCTGCAAATAGGTAATTGGCTAATATTGGTAATGTTTTAGGAATTGGCCAATTTTTGTAATAAGCTACTTATAAATGGACATAGCTGGTATTTTCCCAAAAAGAAAAAAAAGAAGCATAGAAATAAAAAAGAATTGGAGAATAAAGTAAAAATTCTCCACAAAAACTAATATGGGTAGGAAATGTAATTAGTTTATGGGTAGAAAAACAGATGGGTAGATGATGATAAATAGTTTTGTTGAACAAAAACTATTGGGTTCGGCCAAAACTGCAATCAACATTGTGGCTCCGCCCCTGCAGATAAGAGCTATCCCAAAATGAGATGAGTATGGTTCAGTTGTTACTATGTCAAACGGAAAGAAAGGATGTCTTGTTCTTGAAGATCTATGTATACTGACTGAACCATTTCATCTACATGCAATGAAGAAAAATCAGAAATCTTCTAAAGTTCTTCTCAATGTAAAAGAAGTTATTGCCGAGTAGTGTCTTTCTTTATATTGTTGAGATTTGGACCCGTTTGGCCATGAATTTTACCAAAATAAATTTGGGATTTATTTTCAAAACTCATGTTTGGCCATAAAATTTGCATACATTTTGGCAAAATCCCAAACCCCAAATCTCAAAATCACCCTAATTGCTGATTTTGGGCCAAAATCCAAAATCTTGGGAATTATATACATGTTTTTCCAAAATAAAGTTGGGAAATATGTTTTGAAAACGTATGTCCAAACACATTTTCATCTTCAAATCAAACTTCACCCAAAATAAATTTGAGATCTATGGCCAAACGCTAGCAAAATGTAGCACCCAAGTATGTCACCTAATGTTCAATGAAATGATTGCAAATCTTGGAGTTGAGAGTTCAAATCTTAATAAAGATATGAAAACACTAGTTGATTTCTTACATGTAAGTTTGCAGAGTTACTTGTCACCTTTACTCTTTGCAATCTTTTAAGTGGAGTTTTGAACTTTTTTCAGAGGTCAAAAACATTTTTTAAAAGAAGAGATTTTTCAGACGACCAAAAAAGAAATTGCGAGAAAAGTAAAAGGAAAGTTTACAAACTTATTTTTTGGATTTATTGTACTACTCCACCTTAAATTTTGTCTAGAAAACAAGTCAAAGGAAAGTTTGAAGCCAATTGGGAAAAGGAATGTGGAGTTTTTGATCCCAAAAGAACAATGGATCTCAGCCTCTAATTTCCCCAAACGATTAACCCCTTCTTCCTTTTTCATTCCTATCAATCATGGAACTTCATCAATTCCTCCGAACTGTCTCCACACTATTCTCTACAACTACTTGACATGTCTTCTCAGCCACCACCACAACAACCGCATCAGCATCACCTCCACAAAAAACCCACCTCTTTCCCTGACTTCATCTTCACTGCCTTTTCTCTCTTCATTTTCTTCTCTTCTTCTAACCCCACTACTTCTATTATCCGCAAATTCACCCCACTTATTTCTTTCCCTTTAAACCCCCGTCGATTCGTCAGAAATCCCACTATGTCCAACCCTTCTTCCACCAACCTTCGTAACCCTACCACCCACCCCTTCCCTAACCCACAGTCCCTCTCCGATTGGCTAAGGCCGCGTTTGCCTTCCGATTCTTTTTCCTCTTGGGGTGTTAAACCGGGTACCAAGAACGTTAATAACCTCTGGCTTGAGTTATCTGAAGGGGAGACTTTGCTGGCTGATTCGACCCCTCCGGTTCGAACCGTGGAGGTTATGGTTGTTCGGGTTGTTGGAAAAGACAATAAAGTCCTTGTTGAATCACACCAAGAATTGTCTAACGGCGTCGTTAGGCAACGGGGCCGGCCGTTATCTGAAAAGATGAAGCCTGGTGAGACCGTCGAAGATGCGGTGTTTCGTGCAGTAAAAGAAGAGCTTGGTTCTGCAATTGTTAAGATATTGCCGAATTCGTACTCGAAGAAGGTGGAAGAAAGGGTTTCAGCATCTTATCCTGGATTGCCTGCTTGCTATGTGTTGCACACGGTGGATGCAGTAGTGGACGGCTTGCCTGAAGAGGAGTTTTGCACTGAAGAGTCCGATGAATATGGAGATTCTAGTGAGAGGATGCTCGTTGATGGTGCAGTTTCATGTAAAAAGCATTACTGGAAGTGGGTCGATGCTGATTCATTGTGATCACTTATGTGGGAGGTGAGTTTGAGCTCTTCTCCTTCCAAGTTTGAATTTTGATTACCGCGTGGTTCAATAACAAAGATGGCTTCTCAAGACTGTGGATTGAGTTTGGTATACTTTATAGGATATTTAGATACAGTTACATAGAAGAATTCTTGATTTAACTTTTCTATATTAATGTTAATATCCATGTCAGGTATTGAGGTTTTAATACTTAATGCGTGTATATCTTTCTAACGGCAAGAACTCCTTGTATTATCTTGAGAAGAACAGGATGTCATTTGAAACTCCAATTGCATTGTACTTTATGGTGCGTCTAAGTGGAAGTAACTTGATAGTTAACAGCTCACAGCCAAGATAAATAGATGTGTGCTTGTTATATTGGGTGAGCTTGTCTCTGACTACTTGAGATGGTTTGTGTGTCTAATTTTTTTTGGTTAGGTACCCATGATCACTTTAGGATCGGAGGTAGATTTGCCACCTATATGCTCTTTTATATATGTTTCCTGAATGTATATCTTTTTTGGGTTGCCGATTTTGGAGTCATTACTAAATTCATGGTAAGTCCAAAATGAGCTTAAGGTGTGCCGTAGAGCCAAAGGATATAATGACCTTTTATGTTGAATATACTTTGTCTTGCAATTGAGGGGATGACTTCAGGTAGCTGGGAATTCTAAACTAGATGTCACAATTTTATGTTAAGGACTTCAAATGCAGTCGATCTATTCACACTTTCATCTTGATTCAGGAAGTCAAACAAAAATCAGTACCTGAATCAAACAAGTTTTGGGGGTCTAGCCCTGACCTATGACCTGCATCGAAATTTTCTCTTTACAGGTTTTATATTGCTTCTTGTTTAACTCTGCCATTGTAACTGCCACAGGAGTTGAATTCTGCAGTAGCGGATGGTTCTTTTAGTTTTTTTTTTTTTTTTTGGTTTTTTTTGGGGGGGGGGGAGGGGGGGGTTNNGGGGGGTGAGAGGAGGCGGCTTATGATTGCATGGTGGCCATTAGGTCGTATGAACGGACTGGTGAAAGAGTGATTTTCTGGTCGGTAGAATGCTGAATCTGTCAGTACTCGGGTAGGTTTACAAGGGAAAAGATTATGTAGAGAAAATGTTGATAGGGCATCATCAATTCATCATTTATTTCTGAAAAAGTAATGAATTTTATTAATGTCTGGGCAAAGAACATGCTCGTATACAAGAGGTTGATAAGGCCTCGTCATAATGTGTGAGCCCTAGAAAAGAGCTGTTAGGGGCTGTTTGGTTCGCCATATAAGGGAAAGTAATCCCTATATAAAATTCTGTTTAGCCAATACAACGTTCTGTTTGCAACATAATACTCGGCTACTAATTTCATCTCTGCATAGTCTATACGACATTTGGTTTCTGGTATAGTTTTGTGTGTTCAAATCACAGGGAGTGCATGATGATAATAACTTGCAGCCACTCATTTGGTGCCTATTCTTTATGTTTTTGCTTGTTTAGGAGGTGTCAGATTAATAAAGAATTGAGGTCTATGTTCTTTCATTATCTGGGTTTATTGATTTTCCAGCAAAACTGAATCATGTTTACGTCTAAAGTTCTAATAAATTGGGGGTGCTAGTGATAAATTTTGAGAAGGATTAAAACCAAGCTTCACGGTATGAATAGTTCACATCTTTGTCTCAAGGTTGTAACTCTGTAGTTTATTTGAATTTCTTGAGAAACAAAATATGATTTGCCCCTTTTGTTGTTTTTGAGTGTCATGCATCTTTTCCCTGGGTAGTGAATTCAGTCTTATCATCCCCTCGACTTCAAAGTTCCTTTCTTCTGACATGCACTTCCCCAAACTCCTATATGTTGGGATGGTGTACGTAAGGCACTCACATTATAAACCTTTTATTTTGCTCAATAGAACACCACCTTTGGTTTGGAAGTTGCAAGTACGCCTTCAACCATGAGCAAAAAAGAAGTTGCAATCCTTAGCTACTTCTTAGAGGAAAATTGGCACTAAAAAAGTGGAGAAAGGCTGGAATTAGGGAGAAATAGAATGGAAATAAACACTCAATTCTTGGGATGCAAAACCTTCTCCGGACCTTGCATGAACGCTGGATGCTTCATGTACCGGGCTGCCTAGTTTTGTGGCTTAATTAGCATAAAAGTAGATAATGTTGCTGATGGTGTATGAAAAAATTAAGTATTAGTTAGGCTTGATAAAATCCTTTGAGTGTGTTGCTCCTCTAATTGACTCCAATTTGAGGATTTAGAGTTCTTCAAGGCCTCTCCCGGCCTTAAAATGTGGTGATCAATTGGCAACTCATAAGCATTTCCTTAGCTGAAGATGCCCCCAATTTCCTAGTTGTTGTAAATTGGTGTTGTAGAGCAAGTTCTCTTCATGTGGTAAAGTTTCTTTATTCTCTGTTATATAACATGCTGAGGATGGAAACACATACTGGACAATTTGATTAAAGTTTACTTTCTTAGGATCCCTCGAAATGCTTCTCGTGCCCTAGGTTCCCAAAATGTAAGGCTGATTCAGGTTAACATCTTCGGGCATCTTTCCAATCTTTTCATCTGTGAATCTCTTCTTTTTCCCCCAAGGACTTTGGTAAAGTGTAGGATGAGTTATTCTGGACTGTAAACTTAGCCCCGATTGTTAAGGTGGCGTTCTCGTCTCATCTTTCTGTCCTGGCTTCTTTTTCTGCATATGTGACCTGTAACTCCTCGCTCTCATTGTTGCTTACCTTGTTACGGCATCTTTGATATTTAACATTTGTGTAAATTTTTGTAATAGTATCTGCAACTGGTCATGATTGGGATTAGAAACTGTGAACATTATTTCCCCTGAATTGGACATGTCGGGAATTGATCAAATGAGTAGTCAAATGGATTTTAACAAGCAGAAATAAGTGTGAGGAATAACTCTTATTGGGTTGAAGAGCTGGAAAATTTGAGTTTTGAACCCCTCCGGTTTTAAAATAGTGAATTTCTCTCTGATGCTATTTGTGTGGTCATATTGAATATAGTGTTGTTATGAGCTCAAATTAAATCGTGGAAATAGTTACATTTTTATGTTTATTGACTGAATTTTTTTTTTTGGATTGGCGAGCGAGTTACTCTACAAATGTGAATCCGTTATCATGAGTTTGAAGTTTTTTTGTGGGGCAGATTTGCATTGTGAGATCGATTTGATGTCCGAGACACAGGACTAGGAGTAAATTATACCTAATGGGGGAACGAATAACTTAGTATTGGAAACCGAAGCGGTTAGAAGGAAGGAAGTGCATACTTTATCTGGGTCTTTATTCAACCGTGTAGTGCTAGGGAAGTGAACAGTTACATCGTATTGTACAAAAAGAGGTACATGCCCTGTAGCTGTTAAGTTTGTGAACTGAGTTGGACATCCAATTTCACTGCCAACAACTAGAATAACAATACTGATACCGCAGACCAAACAAAGGAAGTGGCTTTAATAAGTAATTCACAACGATCAGATTTTGGGTGAGGTATAATCAAAGGTGAAAAACAATTATGTGTTGGATATATATCCAGCTCGAGGATTTAATTTGAAAGTTTGGGTTATTTTCTTGTCGCTCAACCACATAGGTGCCTAAGGTCTTTCGTCCAAATAGATTTTCTTGAATTCTGTGGAGGTCCGGGCATGCATGATTGGGTTGACAGAAGGAAGTTGTGGTCTAATGAACCATTTTACATTTTGCTATATTCACTCCCTAATCCTTCAATTTTATCAAGAATTAAATTGCTGAAATTAGTGACTTGTAAAATGACTTCCTGCTACAACATGTTAAATCCTTTTACCAATAGTTAGGGATGGGATAAATTCTCTTGTGCTTCTGTACAAGTTGTCTTGTATGCACAGCCAATTCTATCTAGCCAAAACTCGTCAGCACTGGGCACAAGAATTTGAAGCAGGAATAGCTAGGGAGATTCCTTGGCAAAAGGAAACGATAAATTTCCCTCGCTCTTTTCTCCTTCTGCCTCTGGTATCTGGTTTCTTATCACCAACACAGTCAGCATATGATATGATTTCGTCTAATATCTTTCTACTGTAAATATTATTGAAGCGGCAAATATCTATTGGACATATCCAGGAGCGGATACAGGATTTCAAGAGGATGGGTGCACTGTTATAAAGAGGTACATCTAGAATTTGTATTTGACGGGTTTAACTTTAGTCTCTTACTAATAACTCACTACACTTTGAAATTATATATTCAAAATTATATTCTTTTTAATTTTAGTAAATTTCAAATATATTTATACTTCATGCCGAAAACAAGACCATTCGGAGTGGGATTTGAACCGCCAATTTTACTGTAAATGTGCACCCAATAATAATTACACCATAGCCACAGGAGCGTTTGAGCATGCGTGCACATACATATATTTAAGTAATTTTGAAGAAATATAACATTATTATAAATGATTTAGGGTGAGGAGTATGAGTTTCACGTGAACTCATATCCCTCAAGCTGGATACGCCTCTGGACATATCAATCTAATCTAGGTCATCCACTTGCCTCTGCCACTACAAATTCATTTATCTATCTTTCCACCATCACCTATCTACTCAAAAAATGTAAAAGCGTGTACAATCAGAGGGACTACAAATTAAAAGAGAAATTACAAGATAAGATAAACAAAGCTGGAAAAAAACCCTTTCATTTCTAACTTCCCACTTATCTTTGCATTACTTTTACTAGACTGATTCACAAAATATTAACATCAAAGTAACAATAACTTTCCAATACTAATCAAGATTTACAACCATACCCAAAAAAAAGAAAAGGATATTGAACAAGGGCTTAGCTTTATATGTTCCTCGCTAATTGAGTAAATATATATTTTTCATCAAGCTTCCGGCCTTTATTCGGACCCATTTGGCTCGACTAATTCGTTTACTAACTATATATGGAGGTTTTAGCGCTCCCTACTAAAAAGCACTCCATATCCCAGGCTCGAACCCGAGTATGGAGTAGTAATATATTATTGCTTCAAGCATCAAAGAGTGGTAGAACATTGAGCTCCTTGTCTAAAACTAAGGGGACCAGCTGGTAAAGAAGGTCCAAAAGGCATAATAGCAACACAATCAACATTGAACCTATACCTTCCAGAAACCCAAGTTCCAACCTTCCATCTTAACCTACCACTTGCTTTCAAATTCATTACCAATTTTCCAGCACTTTGGTCACGTTGCACTTCAGAACCAAAAGAAGGATCAACCGGCAATCCATTCCCAATCAAAGAGGCAGACAAAAAATTACTATCTTCATGTCCTTGATAAAATGGAGGAAGAGAAGTGTAAAGAGTAATTTGTTGGCCCTTATAAGAAGCATACACTTGGAATTCATCGTAGTATATTCCAACTTTCTTGTTTGGATTCTTGGATACAAGTGTGAGTTGAATGGAGGAGTTGAGAAGTTGGCGTGGACCTGAGAGGTTTAGTTGATAAATATCAGCTTCTCTGAGAGTGAAGTTTGGCTTCGTTGGGTGGAGAGTGAGATATAGAAGAAAGATAAATGATAGAATAGAGAGGAAAATGGTAGAGAAGCCAAAGAATAACTTCTTAATTGGGACTACTTTTTCTAAGCTGAAGTTATAATCTTTCTCGTCACAATGTTTTGGAGATCTTACATCAATTGGAGACATCAAGAATATTAGAAAGAGAGAGCCAAAGAAAGAAGTGTATGGGGTAAGTTCACAAGGCCAAGGAAAGGAAGCAAGGAGGTTAAATATAAGGAATGCTGTTACAAGTAGAAATAGCAACAATTATTTTGTCCTTCACTACTTTTGACTGACTGCTCCGCATGGGGTATTGACTAATTATTAAGTGCAATGATATTAGTGGAAAGTAGCTGAAAAATCCTACTAACTTCTGGAATGTGCTCTCCTTTCATTTCTGCTAATACTGTGATTTAATATTGAATGTAATTCATGTAAGCTGGCGGCGTAAAAAATATTTATACAATTAAATTACTTAAAAAGGTAATTACAAATGATTTTATTTAAGAATATTGATTGATAATTTTTTTTTTAAAATTACAGTGATTGTGGAATTTTTTTATTATATTGTCCGTGCATATAACTTGAATCCTTTAATTATTTATTAATTTGTGTAGCTATTGGTTATTGTTACTGTGATTGGTCATTGGAAACAGTATATTTTTTTCGAGTATTCTCGTCACAACATCTTTACTCTTGTATTTTCAAATCTATTTTGAAAATATTTTTCTTGAGCTGTGAGGTCTATTGGAAACAACCTCCCTATCTCACACAAAGTAAGATAAGGTTTGCGTACACTCTCTTCTTCCCGGACCCCACTTATGGGATCACTTCAAATATGCATAGCGTGTTCTTGAAGAAACTCCCCAAAAGTTTATTTTCTCGAAAGTTGTCAACTACTACAAGACTTTAAAAGAAAGTAATTTTTTCAAAAAAGACCTCTTTTCTCTAGGATAGGGTAGGAGGGAAATTATTTTTATCCTGTATCATGAATATGCATGCAATGCACTTTGGTATCGTGTATGCTTTACCAAGTATATCTTTGAAGCTTTAATTATCATGTCAATTGATGGAGTAGCTTAGGATGGCTGAAGGATACTGGGATATCTCTCTAAGATAGAATCTTGATTAAACCTTTTAGCATTATTGAAAGAAAAGTTAAGCTTTTTTAAAGTGCGTAATGATTGCAGTTAAAATGATAAATTATCAGGGTCCCTCACTTCTGACCTCCCATTATCAAAAATTAAAAGCAGAAAGAAATAAAAACCTTTATTTTCCTAGTTTCAATCGAAGTTTTCTTTATGAAGTACTTGGACTAGAGAACGTTCGTAATATATATACAGAGAGTATACAGAAAGGAATTATATATATTACTATCAGAGTTAATTAATTATGGCATCTGTAGTTGATATACGTGTATCTTAAGGTACAGTATATATATAACATCACTTTGTCTAAAACTCTACATGACTATTAAAGAAAAATTCTCAAGCATAAAAAAGAGAGTATGCTTATCGAATTTCCAGAAGCTAATCAAGCGATGCCTCAATTACATCGAATAGCCATTCTTTCGAGTTAATTTTATTGATAGTCATTGAACTTTTGTGTTTGTTACCCAAAAGTCATTTAACTTTGTGTTCATTACCCAAAAGCCATTTTTCTTTCTTTTGTTACACAAAAATCATTTTACTTTGCTCTAGTATCACAAAAGTCACATTTGTCAGATTTTATAATATTTTTACTTGAAAGTCTATTATGCCCTTGATATTATATAAATTTTCATATTTATGTAATACCTTCTATATTATATACTATATGATATATTTTTACCTAGGTATTTTATTTATTATTTTTATAATATATCCGTACATTTAATTTTTCCTTAACTAATTTTATTTTTAAATTTTACCTGTGTTCTATAAAATCTTATCAAAGTGATTATCGTGTCAAAGTAAATTCTTTTCTTTATTTTGTTACACAAAAATCATTTTACTATGCTCTAGTTATCACGATAATCACTTTGACAAGATTTTATAAAACTTTCACCTGAAAAGTCTATTATGCCCTTGACATTATAATCCTCCAATTTATGTAATACTATCTATATTATATATTATATAATATATTTTTACCAAGGAATTTTACTTATAATTAAAATAATTTTAAATTAAGTTTTTATAATATATTAGTACGTTTAATTTTCCCATGATACTGAATTTGTTTACTCGTATTCGAGCATGAACATATTTTCAAATATGAAAACGACAAAAAAATATTTATTTGAAATAACAAAAATAGATTTGTTTAACAAATGATAGTTTTTTGAGCTTTAATATTAAATTTTAAGCTTTATCTGTTGATATTATTTATTTGAAACTGTTAATCTGATGTGTGAGTTTACTAAATGTTGGTATTTTATTTATTGGATTAACGAATATGGCTTGATTGATAAATCTGTGAGCTTTGATTTTATATTTCTTATTAAAAATATTTCATTAGGAGTGGTTAAGAACGTTGACTTGAGATTTGTTCATAGTAAAGTTACTGACAAATTTAATAACGCTACCAATATATCTTGAAAATTAACGTTAAGAAAAAATTAAATGTATGAATATATTATAAAAATAAAAAATAAAATAATATTAAGTTATTTTTGTTATAAATAAAATACCTAGGTAAAAATCTATTATATAGTATATAATATAGAAGATATTACAAAAATATGAAGATTTATATAATATCAAGGGCATAGTCATGTAAAAATATTATAAAATCTTGCAAATGTGACATTTGTGATGACTAACAAAGTAAAATGATATTTGTGTAACAAAAGAAAGAAAAGTGACTTTGAGTAATGAAGACAAAGTTAAATGATTTTTACGTAACAAAAAAAAGGTGACTTTTGGATAGCGCACACAAAAGTTCAATGACCATCAATAAAATTATCTCTCCCATTCTTTCCGTCTAGTATAAAAAAGTTTAGCTTATACTATATAAGAAAATATAAAACATCGTACGAGGATGCCTGTCATAGTATATACCGAAAATTCAGTTCAGTAGCTGGTTTATTGCTTATAATTAAATTGTAGAAATGCTTTTCCAAGTTATGAAATGTAAATTAGTATAGGAAAATATGTGTGAGAAGACAAAAGATCCAAAGTCTATAGTCATTGCTTAATGTTATTCATTGAGGCTTGAGCTCAGTGGTAAATAGTTGAAAAGGAGTAAGACATGGAGAATCTAAGATATGGACTTTTTGGAGGTCCATGGGGCAGGTGGAGCAAACTCAATTGGGTTGCATATTATAGGTCGATGTTACTTCTGCCTTAAGGAACTTCCCACTTATTCCCCCAACCCCCAACCAACAAACCGTGTGGATGCAGCTATTAGATTAATCTGAACTCAATACTTTCGATGTGAACCATAAATTTTACGTAAAAATTTATTAAATTATATGGAGTAACAAATAGCAGTATATAAGAAACAATGCTAATAACCTTAAAAATTGAATCCATTAAGTTCAAATCCTGTATCCGGCTATTCGCCTCAGCCTCCAATTCCCCCTTTTTCCCTTTTCTTATTTAAGTGTGAATTAGAAGATACTAATAGAGTTTCGATTATGTAACTTACCAGTAGTTATTACCTACACATGTCAGGATGTTGAGCTCCAAGATATCGGACACACCCATGAAATTTCTTTTTGATTTTTAAAAATAAAAACTAATACTAGAAATAGATAATACTCCACTAACAATAACAATTATTCAAAATTATATTAAATCCAAAGTAAAAGAATTTACCACTGCAAATAGTACCGCGCGCGCGCACAACATATATATATATTACATACTAACAATATTATATTTCGAAATGAACATCCCGAGGAAATTCTAATAGAAAGAAAACTAAACTAAATACAGAGAAGCTGCAAATAGATATCGATGAAGCAAAACAATGTTATTTATAGTTAAAAGACTTTTATGCACGCCATCATTGATTAGGAGAGGGGTAAAGGGGTAGGATATACACGATAAAAATATTACTACAGCGGATAACTAATTGATTGCTTTTTGAACCTTTTTTGAGTTCAGTTACAATGGCCTTTCAAACAATCAATGAGGAGAAAGTTGAGTCTGGGTGCCCCCATCATTATTGTGAACAAGTGATTCTCCTACGAACTTTCTCTTTGTGAATGGAGCTTTCTGATTTTACTTTGACTAAGACAGGCGATGGACCACTTTGTATGATATTGCCCTAATTTTATAAAAAGATCTTTTACTTTTTGAGTAGCTTCTTCATCATGATAAATAGCGCAGGATTCAGTGTCTATCTCTAGTCCTTTCTTCTTTTTCTTTTCTTTGTCCTCCTCTCATTTCTGTTGTGCAAAATTTCACGCAATTTTTTTCCCTCCTGTAATTTCCCCCTTTCAAGTAAAAGAAAAATGATAAATTAAAGAAACATAAAGTATTTATATTAAACATCAACACTAATAGACAACATTCATATCAACTTTTTGCAGCCAATAAAGTAGAAGGTCCTAGGCCGCAAGCAAATGGCAGGATATACAACCGCGAATCTAGTTGTCGTCGAGCTTTTGTAATTTGGTTATCAGGGAGCAACATCCATGGCCCATGTCACAATAACGTAATGTCACTCAAGCTCTGAGTAACCCCGTGGCGGAGGCATGATTTCCGCTAAGGGGGTTCAAAAAAGAAAAAAAAGTTACAAAAGATTGTAGCTAGTGGGACCAATGACCTTACAAAGGTTTTGAACCCCCTTGACCACAAAGTTATGTTTTTTGGTTGTATCAAGGGGATAATATATAGAGGTAAAAAACAGAATTTACGTGAAATTTTTCGGCCCCTATTAAGATTTGCCAAAGTGCTCTGAGATGATGCAATTAACCTGAAGAAGTCATAACTCCATTCTCTTCTCAAAGTATTCAAGCAATTCCAAAAGAGACGAATACACACACAAAAGCATAGGCCACCGATTACCATTTATACATGTGCAATAGGCACTATATATGCACATTGATAATTGTCATTACAAACACTGCTACCATAAGATATGCCAAAAACGGAAATGGAAAGAGACTCCAGAGCCTGAGTTAGTAGAAGACTGGCAAAACATTCTTCAAAAATGAATCTCGTTGGATGACTGTACGTGTCGCATTGGTCATGAGAATGAAACCAATCCTTTGAGATAAATGCTCATATAGTGTTATTTCAATATATGTACTAATGTTGCAAGAATGAATTTCTGCAAATAAACAACGTAACAATCCATAGCTGGTCACACGCCAGAAAATCTCTGCTCATTTTCTGTACATAGGTTTAGAGCTAGTCGTGGTATGCTACATCAGATGATCGAGAAGTACACTAAGGGACTCCAATATTAGCAGTGGGAAAAGGATCTTATCAGCTAACCAACTATAATAAAAATGGAAAATTGATCCTAGTCATGAATATAAGAATCGATACTGTGACGTTACTAACCTATATGTTAATTGAGATGTACTATCCTATATATCATCACAAACAGAAGGCAGGGGTGTCCGCTTCACAAAAATGTAGAGAATTCCTCATCAGGTTGTAATTCCTATTAGCAAGAAATCAGACTATCAGTGTGGGATGCATAAGCGAGTGACCATAGCATCAATAAACTTGGTCATCCTCTTGTTTGTTCCTTGAATTGTGGAAGTCCGGACTTTTAAGTCGTTTGACAACACTTATATTTGTTCTGTTTCCTCCTCTAGCTGGATGAAGTCGTGTTCCTATATTTCCAAACATCCTATGAGTTACCCATTTGAGGCTCATTAGGAACTTGACGAACAAACTGCCCTTTCACTCTGGGACGCTGCTCTGCAAGTTTTTTCCTGCTTTCATATCTTACCTGCGACCAATCACAAAGGGAAAATGATCGATAAGCAACGAGAGAACCATGTGCCATCAAATTTTGCATCCTTCACACATGAAAGTAAAGTGGCTCTGTGATCATTCATCAAATGGCCAGTGGTCTTTAACTGCTAACAAAAAATTTGTTCTATTTATCAGGATTAACTGTTTGCCAATAAATCTTGTTGATATCTGCTTCCTTTTCCATTTGTTGCCAATTTATCAGGATTCTGTTGTTTAGTTGAGATAATTTACTAAATGATTCTGTAACCAGTTCATTTGAAGATGAAGATTATAATACATCAATACAACACAACTTTTGTTAAAAAGCCGTTGGACCTGACATACCTTCTTTTCAAAGCATCTGTCTTTCCGCTTCTGACGAAATTTTGTAAGAGCTGCTTCTCTTTGAGATCGATTGGAGTTCCCATCAGGAGTGTAAGAGATTTCTTCTTTCCAACACTCCGCCGGTGTTTTGACTATTGGAAGTGAGATGTTTCCACTGCTTCCAAAGCTCATATGAACCTGGTTTAAACCACCATTGCAGCAACTGCTATTTGTACTTTGATCGGTTGCAGAGGGTAAATATCGACAATCAATTTTGGGTTCAGACCAGTGCTCTCTCTTGCCCTCATTGTAGGTTGTGGAACCACTGTTGTTTTGAACACTCTGTGAGTGCAATTGCTGAGAGCTCCTACCTTCACAATTTAATGTAAGGAAAGGATTCGCTTGATAGGAAGATTCCTGAGGGGTAGCCGAACCTGGACATTGCAGTGGCGAAATGCCTGATGGCATGCGAAGTATTGGAGCTATCATGGAACTGTAGGCACTGCTTGGTCCCTCAAACCTGATACCTCTCACTGGTATAGGGAGAGGCGTCACTCTCTGCTGCGGAGAAGGATGTCCAATGTCAGCTGGTCCTGGTTCTCCGCAGCTAGGAGGGGCAAAACTGTGAGGTCTAGTCATTGCTGCACGGGCATCTGAGTTGTAATCAATGGCATGACCAGGAAACTGCTTATCAGAATCAGTTTCATAGTCCTGTTGATTATAAGTCCTAGACGACGTTGACTGTCCAGATTGCATTGCCCTGTTCACATACCTGCAGGAGCATTTTCCTAATCGTTAGTCGAGAATCTTCATTGGATTGGAGAAATTACATCAGAATACAAAGCACATTTTTAAGAATTCAGAATGATGCTTTCACTCAATAACCTTAGAGAATAGAGTTTCACAACTTTAGCGGCTCAAACTCAAAGGATGAGATGCCTTAAGTAACTCAAGGTCTTACAACCAAGTTATCCCAGAGTTCATATTTGCAGTTGTATTATCTTAATAGATCATCACATCTTACAGGTAAACAAACGAAAAATAACTTATTGTCCTTCAAGTTGTTTAATCTCTCAAAGCTTCGTGAGCTTATAATGAGGCTTTTAACAATTCAAAGTAAAACAATTGAGCCTCTTCCTTTTCAGGCAATAAGCTATACTTTATCTTTTATTTTATTAGTATTACTTTATTCTAAGAATAATTCTGCATCAAAGCATATAAAAGAAGAGATTATGAAATTAAGACTTACCGCGTGAAGGCTGAAGCATCAGAATGGTTCAATCTCTGCTTCTCATTTGTAAACTGATTTACAGATCCACTTTGATGGGGTCTTGTCAGTGAAAGATCCAGTTGGGGAGAAGAAGAATCAGCCTTATTTGTCCTAACGTTGGAACCAGAACTTTTGAAATTGCACTTGAGGTAATTATCAAACGCTCCGATCAAGTCAATGGCTTGTTTAGTTAGAGGACCAGGATTCTCATCAGAAGTTTGATCAATTGTACGAACATGACCCCAATTATCATCAGAACTTGTATCTTCTCCCCTGGTCATTGTATTCGCATCTTCTAAAGGAGCTGCACCAATTTGTATGATGGCAAAACGTTAAAAGTTTAGAACACGTAAACCTACTCCTAACTAATTCAACAGAATGAACTTGCTTTCATAATCATGAGATGGTTAGAAGAATTTTACCTCCAGCATCATTTACGGACATTATCAATCTATTATTTGCTTCAAGAAATAGTTCTTTCCTCAAATCTGCACCATTTGGAAGAGATGCAGTCCTATTTGGTTGAATAGACTCCTGTAAATCTTCTGTGTTCTCTCTTTCATTCTCCAACTCTGGCTTTGTGCAGGAGCTCTGCATAAAAGGAAACACAGTTAAAAATCTCACCCAGTACAAATTATGCAGCAAACATCTCAAAAGGATTTTCATCTATTAGAAACTAAAAACATTTCCACAGAAAAAAATTGATGATAAGTTATATTTGTGATTCTTGACAAACGAAATACCATGATGGGTAATGCATATTACCTGAGCATCACTTCCTTTCTCAATGCATTCCCGGTTTCTCTGAACGCACGCCTTATAACCACTCGAATGATTGCTGGAAGCATTGTTTTCAGCTGTGGCCTCAACTTTTTGTTGTGCAACACTTTCATCAAGAGGCCCCTGGGAACTTACACTTGCCTGAAAGGACAACATTGTAAATCAAATTAATATGTCGATAATTGGCACTATAATTCAGATAGCAAAAGAGCAAGTTTGGGTTATGCTTACAGCTCTTCTCCTCCAGACGTGTTGCCACAAGTTCTTTAATTCATTCTTCCTAACTGGCTTGACAAGAAAGTCTGCTGCACCTCTAAGCATGCATCTATAAACCGTACTAACTGAGTCGTTAGAGGACATCACTGCAGATAAAAAGAGTTTGACTATGAGTAAATTTGACCAGCTTTTCTACAACATATAGCAAACGCTGAATGGAGGGAGCAACATACTTATTACAGGGATGTTCTTGCAAATCTCGTGCTCCATGATCAAGGAAAGAAGAGCGTATCCAGAGACTGATGGCAGGTCAACTTCTGTCAGGATGAGGTCTATGTTATGAGGTCTACCTTTCAACAACTCCCACGCCTTTAGACCATCAGCAACTGCAGCGACTGCACAAACATAAAGTTTAACGCATAAATTGCTGATCAGAGACGCTCTTTCTTTCTTCCTTTATTCTTTTTATTGTTTTCCATAAGGGAAGACAAGAATACAGACAAAAACTTGTTCGCAAAAAGTTCAGCAATATATAGACATAAACTTGTTCGCGAAAAGTTCAGCAATATATAGACATAAACTTGTTCGCAAAAAGTTCAGCAACATATACTAAAATGTAACAAGAACCTTAAACTGAAAAATCTGCCACACACTACTATTAGCTCAAGTACATTTGATACTCCTCCATTTCATTCTTGTGGCTAAAAAGACTCATTCATCTACCAATAGTTAAGGTATCAATTGTTTCGCAGTACTTATCACGTTCAATAAGAAGACTGTACTACTCTTCTACTGGTTGTTATCAACAGATAAAAGATGTAATTTCCGGGTTATGCAAACAATCAACTACCCCTCAATCGCGAATTTGTTCGGATCAGCTCGAGGAATCCTCTATATCCACTCTATCCAGGAATCCAAATTTGTCTTTTACCAAAAATAGGAGGTTCTACATAAAAGAAAATCCTAACCGAGTTCAAACCCAAAGATCCTAAATAGATGATCAATTTGAAGTTGTCTCAACCCTCAAAAGGAAAGATCACAACTTATGATTCTTAAAATCAATCTGGATTTAGGGAATCTTCACGAATTTCCAGATTCAACATAATTCTATAATACTCTGCCTAACTTTGTCAAAAATGGGGGGAAATTACAAGCAAAGCCTCTCAATCCCAATTCCCCAGGAATATGGGGAAAAAAACACCAATTGAATTCACAAAAACAGATCTTCATTGCAATTTAGCAAGAAAATTGTCATCCAATTCGACGTTTATTCGAATAAACACGTTTATGAGCTTAGATTACTCAAATCCACTTTAAAGTTTCAATCTTTTTTCCTCAATTCTCTGTTAGCAAGGAGTCACTATTAGCTATAACTAACTAACAAACTCAACCGACAGCCTAACAAAAGAGAATTCAAAGAAAATATTGCAAATTCAGAAAGATGTAAGGTAAACACTAACCTTTGTAACTGCATTTCCTAAGAAGGGCAGTAATAATCTGTCTTGTAGAATCATCTGCTTCTACTAACAAAACTCTAAAAACCATTTTAGGCAAAAATCTTTCCCATCTCACAATTGAAGAAGATGCCGCAGCAGCCGCCCCTATTTCCTTATTCTTTTCGCCCGCCTCTATTTCTGTCTGCAGTTCCATATCATCTGTCCCTATAACTTCCACATCATTTTCGCTGCTTATAACTACTTCACCCATTTTCTTCGATTCTAACTTTTGTTATTACAAAATCCTCGTACTTCTTGAAGGTGGGGAAAAACAAAAAAACAAATAGTAAAGAAGCACTAATATTGGTGGTGAAGCGAAAAAAAGAAAAAAGTCATGTCACATTTCTCAACTCTTTACCACTTAAACAATCTTTAAAAAATATCTGAAAAATTAGTGGGAGAGTTTGATCCAAAGGTGGTGAATTAAAGTACATATGTTTAACCGCCTGATATCTAACGGTCCAAATTGATTGAAATTATAATAGTGGGTCATAAAATATCTAGAAGAGTCATGTGTATGGCCCGAATTGGCCACGTTGCAACTTGCCTCAGAGATCAAAAAGTAAGGACCCATTGGCCATTGGCTTTGCTTTTTTTCTCTTTGGATGAAATTGTTGAATTTGGTTGGTGGCCCTTATTTTACTCTATACTATTGCTTAAAGAAATAGATTTTCTTTGAGATATTTTTTCAGTGGGTCCCAATAAAGAAGATATTTTCATTTTTGGGTGGAGAAATTAGGGTCTGATGGATATGAACTCGACACGTGGATTGTCCACTTATTGATCTTTTCATTTGTGGTTTCGAATATACTTTTGTTTCTTCATTGTAACGAGTGGAGAAGAAAGAGTGTTTGGGAATATTATATAAAAAAGTCTACTGATTACTGGCTATTGGCGAATGGCGATGCAATTAGTTGGGAAATCGCATAATTTAAGAAAAGGTTCTTATTGATAGATGTTAATTCACCAATTAATTACGAAAATGTCCTTGTGGTGTACGTGGCAGCAGATGTTTGTGGTACTTTTTCTTCCCATCCTCCCCCCCCCCCCCCGGTTTTTTTTTTAAATTTTGAGGAGAAAAATACTTATGAGTAATGAATAAGGGGAAGCAGAAAGGGGGAAAAAAAGAACAAAAATATCTTTGGTTAGATTTCAAACCCAACTCATATAAGATCAAACTACAATATCTATATTAAAACTCCAATTCTAGATGGTTGTACGCGTAAGAAGGCGCATTTAAGAGCAACTCACATAATATTATACGGTTAAAATTTACTTACTTTCGGTGTTTATCATAACCCAATCCCAATAGATACGTGATATATATTTTCACATAATTTCTTATTATTCTAAATTATACTCCCTCTGTTCCAGTTTATGTGAACATATTTCCTTTTTGGTTCCAAAAAGAATGACACATTTCTAAATTTGGTAACAATTTAGCTTAAACTTACAATTCTACCCTTAATGAGAAAGCTTTTATAACCACACAAATACTCCGGGCCCCTTTTTGACTTGTTTAGGACCACAAATTACAAAAATCATTCATTTTTTTCTTAAACTCTGTGCCCAATCAAACATGTTCACATAAATTGGAACGGAGGGAGTAGTTAATTACAAATATATATATATATATATATATATATATATATATATATATATATATATAT